TCTGCTGAAAACAGACAGTTGTTATTTTTCCAGGCAATATTACTTAAATGACATCATGAAGTCTACATTCAGATTTTTCTTTCAGAAGAAAACATTGCCTCAAAGTGTATGTACATGCAGGTAAGGCAATTTTGCAATATCTAGATTTATTTTTTTAATTATAGCTAGGATTTACATCTTTCCATATTGTTTTTATACTGCTGTTTCTTTTTATTAGGGTTTTTTAACATTTGTCATGCATGGCCATGGCTTCCTCTGTAAGCCTTTAATATAGAAGTCAAGCTTTTTATACAGCAAATAAGAATTATCTAATTTCACAAAATAAAAGGAAAAAGCCCTAAAGATTAAGGTGGGGTTAAAGACTAAAATTTGCTTATAAATGCAGTCTGGCACTTAAACAGGCATGTAGTTTTAGCTATATGAATATTCCCTCTGAAATCTAGGACAGCGAACTGTATTTAGAACAGTTTTTAAACACTCTTCTGACCAACTGGGGTTGTAACAAGTTTTGCGTTCAAGCATAACACAATTAACAACCATGAGAAGGAATAAAAAAATAGGCTCAAGTGTTATCCTGGGTTGTCTAGGGTGAGTTTATTTCTGATGGCTTCCCTCAGTTGGACAAACCATAGCCAAAGCATGCTAATGCAGCAAAGCATGCTGTGAAGTACCTTGCCAAGCACCCAGGGTTTGTGGAACAACCGTTCCTGAATGCTAGAGCAAAGTCTTATCTGCCTTAGCTTCCTGTGTGGAGAAGACTTGAAGTGCTAGAAAAGGGAGGGAGAGATTAGATCTTGGTTCTTTAGGTTTGCAGGAGAGTGCAGCCAACCTGAGCCAGGCTGCTTTCTTACCTTCTCTTTTCTCCAGAACTAAATCAAAGCTGACAAAGTAAGGAAAAGATTAACACATTTGGAGTTTGGGAGCAGAAAGACTGACTCATTCTTGTTTATAATACTTGCCTGGTTTGTGATTTGGAACAAAAGAAAAGTATCCAGCTAGATTTTTCTAGTACATGAAGAACATGAAGGGTTGCCAGGCTTCAACCTTCCTTGTGACATCATCTGAAAAGCTGTGTAATTCCCTGCAGAAAAATATCCACAGAGGTCATGGCAGCTTGCTTCAGCAGCTGAAATCTGTTTGTGGTTCTCTACACGCTTGCGTTTGAGGAGGGTTTATGATAATTATCTAATTTGTGGTATGGAGAAGTTCATAAACTGTTCATAAATAAACAGTGAGGAGGGCCAGAAGAGAGATTAAAACAAAGGTGTAATCTACTGTCAAAATAAAAAGCATGAGTTTTCTCTAGATTGCAAACCCCAAAGTTGTCTCCTTTATCTTTCTTCCAGAACAACTTGTGGTCTTGTGCGTAACTAACAAAAAATAAGATTTCTTTCTTCTCCCCATGTCCTGTAATCATAAGTCATCTGACAAAAATAGCATCCTACTGCTGCACAGATCTATTTGATACTTGTGCATTGAAAAATATCTGTGTATTTCACCACTGCTAACCTAGTTCTGTTAGTTAGTGGAGCTATCTTGATTATTTTCACCCTGGGGAACTAAAGAATTGTTAATTCCAATTCAAACTTATGCCATATTGCTGATGCACATACTTGGGAGAACATCTTTCAGCTTTCAGATTTCAAACCAAATATCATAATTGGCATGTCTTCCTAAGAGGGAAAAGTAAAATCCATGTTTTTCCTATCATATTCATTCTCTGTCATTTTTTTGATTTAAAGAAAGATTGCAATAACAGGTACTAGTGCAAATTTTCTTGTCTTTTGATAAATACAGCAATCCTCTATTTTCAGGCTATAACTTTCAGATCTGCAGACCTCCAGCTCTATAAAGAAACTTACGTTTTTATTACTGTGCCTTGTCTTTTCTCTATCCTTTTAGCATTGCAATGACCCATTGTTTTAAGCAGTGCTAGTATCACTCTGAGGTTTTGCAAACAAGTCAAACATCGATCTTGTGGAAATTAGTATTAAAATATAACGTCTGCATTTCTATTTCAGTTTGGCATTTTTGACTGCAGAATTTTTGTTTTCAGGAATTACAAAATTTATTTTTCTTCATTTCAAAGTGTTCAGTTAGTTCTTATCAATCTACATTAGAAACCAATTGGAAGTAAAAACAACAGTAAAACAGAGCTTGGGTTTGGTTTTCAATTATTATGCATATAGTAGATATAACAGGTTAAACTTTACCATTTTGAAGGCCTTGATGGACATTATGAACAGAAACACCTATTTCTTTCATCTAACATGCTTAGTATAAATGAGAAAAATATGTTTAAGTAAATATATTTTTTCCTTCTGCACAACCATCAAGTTTAAGATAGCTTTATTTACTTACTGAGAACTATTTTAAAGTGTTTTTTCCTGCAGTTGTAGTGATGTTGAGAGTTCTATATCAATAGCTTTTAACGCAAACGCCAATGAAAAAATAGTTTTCACCCAATGAAAAGAAGGTACAGCATTCACCATATTCTAACATTATGTAAAGAATTAAAAAGTTAAATTATATTAAATTAAAAAGCTGGCTTACTGAATGGGCAAAGATATAAAGTACCCTTCTGGTCAGTGACAAATACATGAAATGGGCAGCTTACTTTGTAGGATATATTAACTCACATATATTACAGCTCACCAACTGAATGAAAAAGGGAAATATTTCCGAAGGGTAAAAACCCCACCAAAACAAAACAAAAAAGGACAAATGCAAACAAGAGTAACAGATAACTTTAACCAAGTAAACCTCCTTAATGATTTAAATCATGATTGAAACAAACAGTTTACATACTTTGGAGTTAAATCAAATCAATGAAAGCTTTGGGTTTGTACATACTTTTCATACATATTGAAGTGAGGGCCTGGCAAACACCTGCAACACCAGTAGTAGTTAAACACGCCTTATCTTACCCTGTCAACTGCATCATTTAGCTCTGGGACACAGATGGATTTTACCCATAATGTTTAAGGAATGTTAAGGAATCTCAGAGGTTTGCAAACTGTGACATACATAAATGGCAACCAGATTACTACACAAGGCTGGGAGCAGCACTGCTACCATGGCGGCTGGCACCGAGAGACACCTGCCTTGCTCACCCTATGATCACCATCAGGTGAGTGACCAGCCTCCTCCTTCAGAGCCGAGCAAGGTAGCAAAATCATTTTCTCCCAGGGTCTGTAGTGACCAGTCTCACAAAGAAGACCATGAACTTCAGGTTCAGAGCTGTCAGATGGATCTCTCACATTCCTTGCAATGAGGAGGTCGCTGCCCATGATCTCCTCATAACTGTGTGGCAGTTAAGCATCACTGAAAACAACCAATAGGCTTTTGGTTTGACAATAACTCTCACCAGTACTTATCCTTTCTCAAATATTTCTTTCTCACAGGGAGCTGTCTGCAATGGCTGCATCAAAGTAAGTTTGGAGATAAAAGCATTCCCAGATTTCCTGTCCTTTTTTCTCTTCTGTTTAAGCCATCCACTGTGCTGCAGGTTGAATTTCTCTAGCAAAGAGTGCAGCCTACCAGAAATAAAGTTTACCGTGTTAGCTCTGGGGGAGGTAAAGAGGCAATTTCTGTGATGCTCGACATGCATAACCTGCAACGTGGTGATGACAAGTCATTTGGCATTTACTTTCACTAAAAACCCACCAGTTCCAACTTTTAACTCATTGACTTAATTGCTGGGACTGAAACCTGAGTGAGTGAAACACAGATCAAATCTCACAAAAGCCTACAGTCAAGGGGCAGGCTTGATAGCTGCTTGCACAAGAGAAGAAATCTGTCTGGTTTTGTTTCTGGTAAAAGAAGTCATTTCTTGAGAAACTGGATCTATAAAATTGCAGGGCATGATACAACAATAATAAATGCATAGAAGCTTTCATATTTATTAATTATACAGATTATAAGATAGAAACCAGCCAGAGTACTTTTCCAAATTGGGATCAAGATTTTTTAGAGCAGCAGCAATTTTAGCTGCAGATTCTCATACAAAACCCACCAGTGAGGTTTCTGAGTATCGAGAGACTGTAAACTGTATTAATATTTGAGATAAGGCAAACAAGACCATCATGTGAAGTCCACAGCTCCTTAAAATTACCTTGTTCATATGTCCCAAGATGGATATCAAAAACCAAACCCAAGCAAGAACTGATGCTTTCTAAAGTCTTGTCCCAAACCAGTCAATAAAAAGTGACTTCTAAAGATCACTTTCTCAGAAATTACTTGCAAGCTTCCATTTAATGATCTGAAATATGAATTATAAGTGGCAAGAAACTGCTGTTATTCCTAGCTTAGAAAGCAGAAACTCAGGCACTGAAAGTTTATGTAATTCCTTCAGAACTCACAAAGGACTTGGGAACACAGCTCCTGTCCTTAGCCTCAAGATCCTCCATCCATTTTCCAGAAATGGGAGATGTTACTGTACTGACTGTGTTGTTTTCCTCAAAGTGGGGTGAGTCTCTTCCCACCCTACTTTCTCGATATCGTATCTTTGATCTTTCTTGTCAAATTGCTTCTTGCGGCTGTCAACAGGACATTTAAAAACCAAAATGTGTAAATAAAAAGCTATGCCACAAGGCAGCAATAGTTTCAAGCAAATACTAAAACATGCCTTCTGCATTTTAACCTAGTGTTACTGGTGTTTTTCTGTTACACTGCCCAGTGGTTATTTCATTGTTTCCTACAAAACTACAAAGGGATACTTAATTTTTTCCTTCTGCTTTTATCCCAGTAATTAGTCATGATTGACATTTGAGGACATGCACAGTGAGACACCCTGCATTTTCTTTTCATGCTTCTCAAATTAGACTCAGTACTAAAAGAAAACACTTTCCTGCACTCTTCCTCTGTATTTTTAAATGAATGTCATCCAAGTGGCATTGCCATTCAAACATTACAGTGAAATTCCTCACATGCTGATAGTGGAGTGTGGGAAGCTCTAAAATTGTCCCCCGTAGGCTCAAATTCAGCCCCTGAAGGTTCACTTGAGTTTAATATCACTAATCACACGGGGACAGTTATTTTTTGCTCTTGCTCAGCTTCTCTTCCACATGCGAGCACACACACCACACACACACACTCATGCTGCATCCCTCCCGTTCTTTTGCACTTAAGTCCAGATTAGCTCTGACCATTCCCGCATGCAAGCAGAGAGCGACAACACCACGGTGCCTAAGACCATAGGTGGGTCATTTGCTTCAAGCCAATTTATTCACATTTGTGATGGTAAGATTGATTTTTATCCTGCATTTCTGAGTTTATTTAACTGATTTCAGAAACTGCCACAGAGGTGGGGGCAGAGATCGTCTTCAAGGTTGCTGTCATCTGGAATTTTATGTCCTTCATTTTCTTTCACTCCGTATGCCTGTCACATCGGCTTAACTGTGAGTAGTGTACTAGCCAGTACCTCTGGCATACTGTATATTAATAGAATATTGATATAGCCCAAATACTGTTGTGGGATTCATCATTTGGTAAATCCTCTGCCGTCTGCAGTTTTACAGAGCCGTTTAATTAGCAATTTTACAACCTCCTATTCTCTCATTAAATTAATTAATAATTAAGTTCAAATATAGGCATCTTTAATGTCATAATTATATTTCAGTTTTATGGTCACCAGAGTTTAGCTCATTAGGCAAGGTAGTCATAAACCATAGCTCTATTTAGGGGCTGAAGCACTGATGCATAGGTAGTCTGTTTCTGCTTGATATTTTTATCTTTCTCACTTTCTCCTGTCCCTCCTCCCCCCAATTTCCCCTCCAGCTCCCCTCCCTCTCACTGCTCTCTGCTAGCACTGGTGTTTTTTCCTGTGGCAGCTCTCCCTCATTCATATGTAAGGTTTAAAAAACCTTACACACCCCGTTATAGCCCTCCAACCCCTCTGCTCCTACTCTTTCTGGAGCAGCACAGTGACGTTGGCCTGTCATGGGTCCTCCTTCCTTGCCAGCCCCAGAGACTACCACCTTCCACAATGAGCACCCAAAAGTGGCAAATTTTCTATAGCATCATATCAGTGACATTGTACTCCTGTTAGACTGTGTGGTTTACCAAGGCTCGGGACTTAGTAATAGCATTTCATACAGTATGATATGGTGTGTTGTTTTATATGTAGTGGATTTATTTCAGTCATTATCACTGATTAAACCAGCTTAGTTGAAAAGGCAAAGCAAAACTTGGCTTTGAAATTGTTCTTATTTAATTTTGTTTGTGCTCACATAACCCAGGACAGCACTAATTATCTCTTTAGTGTAGCTCATATTTCTAATGTAATTCATATGTAAATTGTAATTTAATTCATATGGGAATGTTTGTGCTTCTTGTATATTCTCAGTAAAGAGCACAAACAGTGAATTAAAACTGTTTGGAAATGAAAACTTTATGTTGCCTTTTTTTTTAACTGCCTTTGATTCGTTTTGGCTTGTTGTTTCTCTAATGAATTGCAACTCAATTGGATGGCTAAGGCCAACATAGTCAGGCTCCTCTCTCCATATTTAGGCAGCTTGCTCACTGGCCTGCTTTTCCTTCTGAATTTAGATGATGGGGGAGCTTTCTCCATGCTCCCTACCTTTGGAAAAAAAAAATCATCATATGATGACTATTATTAACAACAATTATGTGGCTCGTTTGTATGACTACAGAGCCTACTAGCACAGCATGGCACTATTTATGCCACTTTGTGTCCCAAACAATACTAAGTGAGAGCACAGCAAGTCTCTCTGAGTGTTATTTCTGGTTCAGTGTATGTGATAATGTTATGTTAAACTTTTAAGCCCAGCCCAAATTTTCCCTCTGATAACCTTGACATTTTTATTGCTTAAAGCAATATCACTGGCACCTCTAAAAACCGCTGCTGCCCAAAGCACAGCTGTCTTTTGACAAGTCGAGTCAAAATTTCTTATTTGTATGACTAAAGTGTAGGACTGTAAAAGTTGTTCCTAGACTGCTGAATTTTCAGGACAGGTTTGCTTGTTTTATGTGGGAATAATGCCATGGTACCCTTTAATGCCGAAAGAAGTACTGAAAGTAGCAGTAAATGCAACAAGCTGTTGCTGTTACAGAGGACGAGCTCGAAAGCATGCACAGTTATGGGCAGCAGGCATAGAAGTGCTAGTGCAGCAGACAAGATGAAACAAAAGACCTGAAGGAAACAGGAAGGATAAGAAGTTCAAATAGTTAAACCTGAAGAGCTGGCAAGTTACTGAATTATGTCACCTACAGCTTTCTTTGCTGGAACTGCCCTCTACACTTCCTAGGCAAAATTGCATTCACATCATTAGGGAGATAATGAAAGTTTATTTCCCATCCTGACAAAAAAGATCTTCTCTCAGCCAAACAAAGTCATCTATGCTGTAAGGACTGAGGGCAGACCCAGAGTCACTGCTTTGCCCCGGCAAACTGTGACCGGACCTGTTGCGGCCCTGAAAGCCTCTTCCTAAGGACAATTGCTACTCAAGCTGATATGCAAAGCCCTGAGGGGAAAAGTTGTTAACTCCCTGCCATCCTCTCCATTGCACCTGGGTATTGCTGTGGTCAGAAGAGACACAGGGCTCTGAGGACTAATATTTGTGTATTAGCTCCCGCTGCTGAAATGCCAGGCTCTGGGATAGTTGACCCTGCTCACCAGTGGGAAAGGCTGCATGAGCCAAGAAAGGAGGCAGAGGGGTCACAGCAATGAATGGGCATGCCTGCTTCCTAACTTCCTTCTGCCAACCTTCCCATCATGAAAAACACTCTGTTTTACAGCAGTCTTGTCTTTCTCAGGTTTGCCGACTCCCTGCAAATAGGCTCCGCTCAGTAAGATGCAGCATCAGGGCACTATTTAGCAAAGAGGAGATAAAGGTGGACAACGTCGGCAAGAGGGACTGCTGTTTGGGTTTGGCTGTGATCACACAGCTCCCTTTCTGCCAAGTGCCCTCTGGGGAGGAATGCTGCTGTATCTAGGGCACACATTTGAAACATACATGCACACATGCATACGCACATACAATCCCTGTGACGATACAAGAGCTGTCCGAAACTATTTTCAATAATTGATTTGCTGTTTAATTGAACATCATGACTGACTAACATAGCTCATTACTTTACTCATTAGTTAATTATCGAAGAAAGTAGGACAAGTCAATAAAATGGAAGGCTGTAAATTCCACTACTAATTAGCACCATTTCCTCAGAGACATATTTAAGGGCAGATTGGCTACTCAAATGTCCCTGGACCTTGTAGATGAAGGGAAAGGGTAGACTTACCATAAATCTAGATTACCGGCAAGCAAGGCTCATCAGCAGTAAGTAGTCAAGTACACAGGTGCTGAACTACCACCAGACACCCTGTTTGAACTGGAAGATTGGAATGCAAGCAGCACAGAAATTCCTATTTTTAAAAGAAAAGGGGGGGGGGGGGGGGGGGAGACGGAAGCTGAGGGAGGGAGTACTCACACACCAGAGAGGATCCATATTTAAAATAAATTATGCAAACTGAACTACTTCTGCAGAGCACATTTGCTTTCCTAAACTCTCTCTTTTCCAGTCTCTCTCACATGCACTCTCTTCATCCTCTCTTATTTGGGCAGTCCTTATCCTAGTCAAAACATCACGGTGTCCCTTTCGGAGAGGGCCCATTTTTAATGTGGAGATTCTAATTTATATCTCTTATTTCGTGTTTATAAAAAATTATAACTGTTCCAGTAGTGGAGATTATATTCTCCTGTTATTGCTAGCATTCTAATTTTTTTTTGTATTGTCTTTAATTTAAGCTAAGTTTGAAATACCATCAGAGGCAGAATTTAATAGGTCCAGCAGATCTTTAAAGTGATTTAAAACAAATAAAGACAGTTTCAAAGAAGACTGCGAGAACAGGAGGCAAAGGGAGTGTATACATGTGTATGCATGTTTGTATTCATGGTATATGTTTCATATATACGTAAGCTTATATATACATGTATATATACACTTAATAAGTGTATGTACTTGAAAAAATACATGCAGACACATACATTCATCTACATACCTAAATATGTGGGTAGATGGTTGTAAATATTTACCTAGTGTAATACCCTTATGTAGGGCTCTTGTTTTGTTGCCCAGTGGAAGGAAATCAGCAAATTCCTTGAGTTCTGCACTTTAAAAGAGCCCAGGTCTCACTGGCTGCCTTTTAAAAATCAAAGCAAGAGGACTTGGACTATGAAAAGATTCTGCTGATACTCTGGTACACTGCTCAACAGTTTGCCTAAATTAATTATAAACAACTTCCCAGCACTAAGGGTTCAGAACAAATATGTCTTCTTACTTCCTTTTATTTGTAGGCACATCTTGTGGGTCTTCCTTTCAACAAATACCCATTTTTGAAAAAAAACTTTTTTCCAGTTAGGTGAATGAGAATGGAGATCAAAAGTATCACCTGAACTTAAGAGAGGATATCACCCTAAGAATAGCTCTCAGTCTGGAACTTTAAATATTTAGCAATTCTAAAAATACATTCATGGATTAATGTAGAAAAAAAAAGCTAACAAACATCCACTACTTGACTTACTATATTTTGTGCCTGCAGTTCTGATTACTCAGCCACACACTGTGATTCATTTTCAAGTATTTTTTAAAAGTACCTTGCTAAAGTGCTCTAAAGATTGCATGGATTTTTTTTAACCAGCAGTTTTGAGATTCTGGCCTCTGGTGCCAATAAAGCAAAAATGAAATTTAGTGCAGAAGAAAGAAATGCAGTTGTTTTGCTTAATAGGAAGCTCCTGGTAGAAATAATGCAAGGAAAATTCTCTACTGATTTTAGTAAAACTTAAAAAAAAACACCAAAAGTGGTATATCTTATTACCCATGTTTGAGAGGGGATATTTGTTTGGGATGTTCCCTTCACATTAGTGAAGAAATGAAAAATACCTGCAATGTAAAATTGACCTGGGACAGAACAGAGAGGAAGATTTCCGCAATTATATGTCTACTCAGCATAGGCTAAGGCGCAAGGCACGTACAGCATACACAGGCAATACGTACTTGCTAGCTGTTGGAAGTTGTAAATAAGAACATCCAGAAGACCCGGAGATGTCCTCTGTCTTGTTTCCAGACACTGCCAAACACTCTTTGATACTGAGATTTTTTTTAATGGGTCTGGTTAGGTCACACTGGATCCCTAGCTGTGCTTGAATGCTGTGGCTACCAGGCCTAGGGAAGAGCTCCCAAGCTGAACAGCCAGTATGCTCAGCCTGCAAGGACTCAATGTATGTGGCTTGGTGTGGAAATAGGGAGAAGGCTGGGAGTGCACCCAATCTCAAGCTCTGTGTCATGCTTTAGAGCCACTGAAACATGGCTCTGAAACATACACTGAGGTTTAACATACGTAATGCTTACATTTTACACTGTCACTTGTGTGTAATGAAAT